CAGAGACTGTGCACAATAGGAGCTGCACGTTGAGTGCTGACTCATCCTCTGGGCTACCATGCACTGCACTGTCAGTGGAGCCATCGCAGAAGATCAAAAGAAAGAAGCTGGCATTGTCGCTTTTTCGGCACTCATTCAGTTCATTGATTTGCGCTGCTATGTTCCAGCTTGCTTTCTAACTATTTTTAGAAGCCTGCCATAAATTAATTATGTGCCAGGAGATGCATCTGTCTTTTTTTCAAAGAGACGTTAAACACATATTAGGTTTGAGGTGGAACCGAGGGCAAAGCTATTCTTGTTCTGCGATACATCCTATTGGAGATTGGGCCCTGGAGGGCAGTACCATGCGCAGCGAGGCGATAGGTTTGTACAGAGGCGTTCCCGACATTAATCACCAAAACTCTTATGCTATTTGTTAACCAGATTCTACCTTGTGCCCATAAAAACTGGAAGCAAGATGCTTTAGTATACTGACCATTGGAATAGAGTGAAAATCAGCATCAGTGATTACGTGCTTCCTTTGCTTGCACCATGAGCGCGAATTCCTAGTCTTCGAAACAGCGAAAATTATGTCAGTGTGTGTTCCGGAAAGGCTGGAGGTCTCAACCAGAGAGGGAGAGTTGGCTCCTGCCCATGGACGACGATGCCACAGCTGCAAGGTGTACTTTATGCACGAGTACGTTAACGGTGAAAATTGATCGCGTCAGCGCTGTCAAGCCCCCCCCCCCCCATCATGCGTCAACGCAAAAACATAAGCAGAAGAACCTCTCCTCGAAACAGACAGCTTTGCTCATGAAGTTCTTTGCTCCAGCAACTTCTAGCGCAGATGATAAACTGCTGATGACTGCTGCAGAACTGGGCACCATATTCCATGGGATCAAGCAGAACTACAGTTAACTGTCAATGGACTGTGGCAGCAAGTTGGCACCAAAAGTCTTCCCGAATTCGGCCTTCACTTCCAGAGTGCGGCTTGGAAGGACAAAGACAGAACATCTCGTGAAAGATGTTCTGGTGCTTTACACGGTAGAATACATAGTCAAAACACTTCACCCCAGCAAGCCGCTAATCTTCCGTTTGCTTTCTTGACGGACGCGTCCAACAAGGGAAATAAAAAACTTTCCCCCTTTCTTTCATCGCTGTGCACTTCTACGACGTGAATGGTGCCGGAATAACAGACGCTCTCATCAACTTCTGTGAGCAGGCGGACGAGACTTCCGGCGGCATCTGCAAACTCTTGGCAACAAGTTTGGAGAAGGTGGGTCTTTCTTTGGAGCGAGCTGTTGCGTATAGTGCAGATGATGCTTTTGCGAATTATGGGAAACATAACTCAGTTTTCCAGAAGATGCAGAAAGATCAGCTGAACTTGTTGAAGGCGGACTGCAATTGCTATGTTCTGTACAACGCTGCCAAGTATGCAGTGAAGACTTTAAAGTTTAATGCGAAAACCCTTGTACTAAAGGTCTTCAAAGAATTTTCTTCTAGCTTGAAATGTGAAGAGGAATTGAAGTCGTTTTTCGACTTCTCTGATTAGGAATATAGCGCAGTGCTGGGTCATATTTCTGTCCGTGTTAAGCTTGTTTATGGCCTTACACAGACTGTTTAAGAACTGGTCGCCCATCAAGTCCTACTTTCTAAGTCAGGGGGAGGAGGAGTGCGAAAAAATAATCTGGAGATTTATTGGCAACTAAGCCGATGAACTTTGGGGTGTGTCACGCTTCCGTAGTGCTACTTGCGCTTCATGTGCTCGTTCCTTGCAATGTTTCATTCAACTATCCTCACCCTTGAAAAGGGTCATCTTGAGCCAACAGAACTTTAAGCTGTAATTACTAAGCTGAGGAAGCAACTGATTAACCGGAAGGATGATATGCTCTTCGGTGTCAAGGCTAATCAGAGACTGGAAATTCTTTCAGACGGACAGGTTGCAACGCTGGACTTGGTGAAGGTCTATGACAAGGCCCTTGAGTACCTCGAAAAGTGGTTTGACCTCGAGAATTCCCCGTTTAAGAGGCTCGCCGAATTGGATCTGCACAAAGGTGCACCCAGCATATCAGTGGTAATGAATGCGGGAGAGCTTTTTGGCATAAACTCTAAAGAGGAAGGCAATGAACTGTACTCTGTGGGAGCCACTGGTTTCCCTCCCCCGAGAAGGTGTAAGCTGAGGCCGTTCCGGGCGAAGCCGTCTGACTTCGAGCCCGGTCGCTCCGTATTGTGTCGGAGAGACTACGTCACCATGCTGACCTACTCTCTTGCACTCCTCCGCGCGTCTCCCCGATTTCGGGGGACAGCGACATCGCGCGGGGGAGAGTCGGGCCTGCCCTCCGAGTGGACGGCAGTGTGGTCAAGGAGTCCTGGATTGGACTCCGGGCAACGGGTCGAGTTGCGGCGCGAGCTCGTCCGACCGGCGATGACTCCACGCTAGTGAGCTGGCTCTGACAGTCGGCGTCCCCACTACCTGTGGACGTCCGTCTGCCGAGAGCTCTGGCCCCGAACTCCTGCGACGATGGGTAGCGGCGTGAGCTCGCCCGACCGGCGACGACTCCGCTCGCAATTCCCCCTTTGGCTCTCAGGTCGGCGGGCGCTGCGGGCAAACTGTGTCCGCGGCTCGCTTGACCGCAGTGTCTTGTTGGGGACCCCTGGTACTTAATAAACGCTGCTGGATACTGGGATCATCGTTGTTGGCATGGCGTTGGCCGAACCCGGCGCGGCAACCGCCCTCGCTGGTAGCCGTCGGCCGCGCGGTGGGACGGGCCTCGGATTTCCCCATTGAGCACCGGGGTCCGGACGTAAAAGGTGCGTGATCCTGTCCCTCCTTTTAATTCCCACAACTCAGAGCTTTGTCTTTTGAGGGATACTCTCCCTGGACTTCTAGCACATGATGAGAAATCGAGCTCAATCTGGCTCAAATTCTTGAAAGATGTGAAGTGTTCCCATTTACAGAAACTACTAATGGAGTATGTATGTTTCCTCCATTCCCCTGCAGCAACGCGATTGTGGAACGCGTCTTTACCGTGATGGGGAACTTGTGGACGGATGGAAAAAATTAGCTAAGCGTCCCAATGGTTAAAGCAGAGCTCTTTGTGCGGTATAATTTGGTGTACAGCTGTGAAGACTTTATAAAGATGGCGAGAGAAAGCAAGCAGCTCATCTGAGCAGCTAAGTCGAATTCAAAATATACATTGAAGTTCCGCAAATAAAAAAAAAAAAGCGAGCATAAAAATTTTACTTTTTGCTTTTCTGCATTGTTTTGTGTATTGCACAATATTGCATGTGTATGTAGCTGTATGTTCCTACAGTAGTATGTATGTATATCCAATAAATTCTGGCATTAGCATTGTAAACTTTTAACATTAGTTTCTGTATATAATCACACTGGTTTGGTAGATTCAAACGCAAAGAAGAGCCTTTTATGTGCGGTTACTTTTCAGTGCAGCACATTATTCCATTTACTGGTATTTTTATGTTAACCAGCAGACTAGTTGGTTAGCTCAGTGTTGTGTATTTGTAATAATTGAAAACGAGTGTGTTATTAAACTGAAAGAAGTCCTGTTTTTGTCCTCATCCTCAATGTTTTAATTACTCTTTCAAGTTTTCGTATTGTGTATTTGTGTACATGTAAATCATGTTGATTTCTCTCCGGAAAAACAATGCCACAATAAATTGCATTGCCTGTCAAAGACTTCACATGTCGTCTTCTGTTGAACACAAATTCAATCTCCTATAATTAAAAAGAATATAAATACCTACCTACCTACCCCCCCCCCCCCCCCCCCCCAATCGAAGGGTCAATTTTTGTTTTGAGGAAAGGTGGTAACCCTAGTCAGAATGCTAAAACAACCATCTGCCATTAAAGGGGCACTGACACATCAAAATCGTAATTTATTTTATTATCCGAAACGATTGAAAATGATGCCGGGACATTACCTTCAAAATTCGAAACTTGGGAATTCAGTATTTGTGAATTAAAAAAACAATTTCCAAATGCCGAATTTGAAGTTCCCGCGCGATCCGCGCCAGTGCAGTGAGTCAAATTTTGCGGTCTCCTGCGACTCGACTTTCTTTCGGACCTCCGCACCACGCTGTGAAGCAAAGCGCCGTTGCTACCGCGACCCGAAGAGAGGAGGAGGTCAGCAGGCGGGATAGAAGGGAGCCGGCACGGGGAAAAACCGGTTTCTTCCCCGACTCGACGATAAGCCTCTGCTCGAGCACCGCCAAGTTTTTCGAGGGAGAACACAAATTCAGGAAGCGACATCCCACCGAAATCTGATTTTTGGTATTTCAAAAAGAAAGGCCGTAGTGCGTTCGTCATTGCGTTAAAAAACATGTTCTACGATTGCCGGTATTAAATGTTATAGAAATGTCGCCTACAAAGCTTCTGAATTTCCTGATTTTTGACGTCACCGATCAAAAGAAGCAAGGAGGTGAGCGCTGGAAATATAAACGCCAAAAATAAAAAGGCGCGCGCGCGCGCGCAAGGAAATTTTTGTTTGCGATGCGGTTTTTTTTGCGTGTCTATGACTGCAACTTGCATCGTTTTAGACAATAAAAAAGAATATGACCTTTGGGGTGTCAGTGCCCCTTTAAGAATTTGAGATTACTCGTAGAACAAACTCTTTCCCGTTTCACGGCCGCTTTTCCGGCTGCAGCGGCACTGCATGTTCTCCAGTGACAACGCAGAGTGCAATTACGCGTAACGTTTTGCTACAAAGGCACTCGGTCAATACCACCTGGAAGGCCCGCACCTTTCCCCCCCACCAAACGTCATCGCTAGTGGATCCGTGTGGCGCCGCCTAGTCTGTGTCGAAGTCACCACCAGCAGGTCTTGCAGCGTCTCGCAACAAGCGGGACGCTAGACGCTAGCACGCATCATCGCCGAGACAGATGCGACTCTAGTCGAGCGTCAGCGTGTTCGCCGCTCGGCGCAAGTCGGGGTTTCACTCACGACGACATAATGCACAGCCCTTATTGTCTTCTGGGTGGTAAAGACTTGGACCGCCACTCACCTCGACCAGGTAGGGCCCCAAGCGACCGCACGAGCCGGTGTCGATGTCACTGTCGTCGGCGCTGAGGTCCTTGTGCTGTCTCTGCCTCCACGGTGCCACTTCCGAGTGCTCGCCTCTCGCCACGGCCCCCATGTCACGCGATGAAGGCACGTCTGAAACATTTGAGTCAATGACTTCTGCAGGGACCGCGCCCTACTCACTGTGAAGTATGCATGCAACGGCGACACTGAACCATACGTCCCGGAGTGGCCTTCTTGGAGCTGTGCCCCTACATCTACCGCAGCAAGAATACAAGGTGCATAGGATAGACGTTCGTAAAAATGCTACCAGAAAAGCCTCGGAACAACCGCACCCAGGTGAAAATCTGTTCGCCTGTGGTTGGATTACGGAACTGGTTCCAGCCGGATCTATAATCCAGCTGCGAGTGAACCAATTCGCAGTTAGATACTTCGCTTCTTTGTGTGTTGACCACTACTTAAGTCTCTCGGTGGCCAAGGCTGGCTGCCGTTTCGAGGTTGTCTAAGAGGTTGATTCTCAGCTGCCCCTCGGAGTAGCCTACCTTTGTCCGGTTAAGAAAAGCATTCAAAGAAACGAGTTACGTTTCCAAAGAGGCCGCAATACCGGCAACCATTATCTTTTCTAGTGTTTGGTTACATACAACTATGGTGCCCGGAACACATATCCGGCTGGTAAATTTACTGCATCCAAAAAAAAAGTCCCCCAATTTACACATTGTGAAATCACAGAAGAGTCATGCTGTCGCTGGCCGCGATCTGACGGTATCACAGCAGTGGTGGTCTATATCACACATGCCTGTTCTGCTGCAGGTCGCTCTCCCCTGTGACAGCTTACGGAAGCTTTGGCAGCCAGGAGTTGAAACGCCGTGACAATGGTGACACTCATGTCCACTCGTGGTTCTTTCCAAAACTTCTACGCCCAACTACCAGGACCGCGACATCTGACCGCACGACACTCTGGCTTCAAGATGTCATTTTTGGCCATTTCGGGACCACTTTTGATGCATGGGCAGAATAGGACGGTGGCATGCATCCACAGTAGTACAACCGAGGTTGACGAGTTGCTAATAATGTCAGGCTAGTGCAGCTAACTTCTCTTAGGGTGGCTACATCAGTCATGATCTTGTGGCAGTAAGTCCTCGTGGCAGAAATCAATTCAAACAGGTGCAAAATGACTCCCGTCATGAATCAGGTTAACGCGACAGTGTCCTCAAACCTTCGTTGTTCGAGGACCAAGGGTGGAATGCAGAGGTGGGTGATCTTAAATTCATTGATAAGGTGATGCAGCTAAGGAGGGTTCAGGTTTTGAAGTACGAAAAAAAAATGCAAAACAATCCTCATCTTAGACTTGGAGAACTTAGAAGCGCAAAAAACACGCACGAGGAAGAGACAGATACAACACGGACTGGCGCTAATTTTCAAGTGATTTAATCGAGGCAATAAACCCAGCACACATAAAAACCCGCTGTGAAAAAAGCGACCCATAAACACAAACAACAGATGACAATGTTGTCATCTGTTGACTTCTAATGTTGTTTACAAGATTCCAATAACATGTGGGCACGTGTACATTGAACAGACCGGGCGGTGTTTTAATAAAAGGGCGTCTGAACATCATTTAGTCATAACAAATCGGGGGGACATCTCGCAGTACACTGCATGCAGTGCGGGTGTGATCCCCTTTTAGAATTAACCCAAGTTATTAAAAGAGAAAATAACAAGACTGAAAGGAAATTAGATGAAGCGTATTTTATAAAGTACTCAGGTAAAAATTGCATCAGTACGCCTTCAATTTTACTAAATGACAAAAAAGTTTCTTTTCTACATGGTTTAGTGTAGACATATTGAACTGATACGAATTTGTAAAGCATTGCCTTCTGTTGCTTGTGTTTATGGGTCACTTTTATCACGGGACTTGGCAAGATAGGCAAGAGTGTTCACACATGTGTGCTGGGTTGATTGCCTTGATTAAATCAGTTGAAAGTTAGCGCCAGTACGTGTTGTATGCGTCTCTTCCTCGTCCGTGCTTTTTGCACTTTTAGTAAGTCCTCCAAATCACAATGAACCAACTAGCCCAATCCAAAGTTTTAGTTCATCTTAGAAATTACTATGTTGAAATCGTTACAGGTCCCACAGCATCTCCTCATAAAATAAGGATGCTAAAAAATAAATCTCTAAATATTAATAAAAGAAGAAATTATAAGTATCAAAGGGCCTGATATGAAGTGTAGGATTGGAAGTGTATTTTCTTATATCACTTTTTTTGTCAAGAAGCCACTGCCTTACAAGGGTTTTCACACCATTTTCATGAGCAGATTCTAGCAAACTTGTATTGTGATTTTCTTAACCTTTTTATTTTCTCTTAATCTCAATACAGTTAAACCTCGATGTAACGAAGTCGGTAAAATTCGCAATTTACTTCGTTACATTGAAATTTCGCTAAATCGAAATTTGGCTTTAGCATGCGAAAAAAAATTCCGAAACATTTTACGGGTATGAAAACTCACCGAAAATGACATTTATTTTGGGGCAAAGTAGTCCGCGAGTTTTGCTTGCGCCTTGTCCGACAGTAGCAGCGGCGTCATACGGCGTTCGAGCGCCCAGAGCGCTTGCACGGCATCTTGCTGCCCATGCGACGCCGTGTACCTCCTCAGTAGGTCCATTGCGTCGAGCACTTCCCGAGTGCTCGTGATCTCGGCAGTTTCTTCAGGATGGCGTCCAAAATGTTTGCTTTCTCATCCAAAGAAAGAACTTTACGTTTCCTTATGGCAGCAAGCACGTGAGTGAACCGCCCGGTTGAAAAATAAAGCTGTTTAGTTTAGGCGGTGCCAATGTTTCCAACCTACACAGCACTCTTGACCCATAGAGTCTTGACCGCACAGTTTACTCAAGTTTACTTGCCCTCTTGCGCCCCTTGCGCCCACAGTGTGCTTGCGCAAGACAATAATCGGTCTTCTCCTAGATGGCAAGACGATAATCGGTCTTCTCCTAGATGGCACTGCCCGTGCGGTCGCGCGGTCGCGCCGTCACGTCGCTCCCCCGCTGAAGTTGGCTCCCGCGCTACCCGCGGTACAGTGGACTATGATGATCAGTGAATGTCAGTGGTGATGCTGTTATGCCGTGTTAACTTTTTGCTCGGCATTTTCTGGCCAGCCCTGCGGAATCCGCTTTGCCGCATGCCTCGCCGGCGCTACCGGCGCCGCATCCTCGGGCAGCCTATAGGAACGTTGGAAGGCCTGTCCCCGTGAAGTAACCTATCAAGCGCTCGCGTTTGCGCATAATTTTTTTTTTAACCACAATTTTTTTGCGAAGTTGTTTTTTAGAGTTGATTTATTTATTGCCTTCTATGGCAATGGCGCTTCGTTATATTGAAATAGCAGCAAAATAGACTTCGTTATATAGAGACTAAAAATACATGGGGTCTATGGGCAAGAAATTATGAAAAATAAAATACTTCGTTAAATCGAGGATTTCGTTACATTGAAGTTCGTTATATCGAGGTTCGACTGTAGTAAAAAAGCCGTTTACAACTCCCTGTAACGCCGAATTAGAGTGCAGCTCTTGAGGAGGAGGAGGGAAGGGTACGGGGAGGGGGGGGGGTCAACTGGTCGAAGGGGAGGGTCACGTGACGATGACCATGCCGATGATGTCATCAGTGACGTCACTGATGACGTCATCAGTGATGATAACGATGACGATGCGGATGTCAATGACGTCATCAGTGAAGTCACTTGTTATGCGTGGGTTCTTCTAAGTGTTTCGGATCGACAGGATGGCGTTGGATTTACATAACGTGTTCCTTTATTGTTGTTCTAATGGCGCCCGACTGGCTCTGCCAGCTCTGCTACAGTTGCCAGTAGGGCTAACGCCACATAGGTGGCGCTACCTTTTAGTACATATATAACACGCCCCTTTTTTCCTTCTTTTTTTTTTTTTTTTTTTTTTTTTTTTTTACAAGTTTATGCGGTTTGGAGGACGGACTTGTCTTCCTGAACGTGTGTGACCTGAGGTTGTCGGTCCACTGCTGGTATCACATGGTATATTCACTGCCCGGGAGGAGTCTTCATCTAAGTCAGACAATGGGCACAGATCCTCCACACTCCTTTGCACTTGGGGTGGTGCCTCTCGATCCCTCGGTGGCAGGGGTGCTTCTCTCAGGTGGTAGCGGTTTCTGCGGTATGTGCCTCCACCGTTTCCTTGCTTGTTTCCAGCTGCTGAGAGAGCCGGTCCACGTACGACTGGTAGTGAGAGGACATCTGCTGCTTTTCTGCTGCAATCTGCTCCATGGCATCCTTGAACTTGTTGACTTTCTTCTCCATGTCCAACTTCTCTTGGTGGAGCTCCTCCAACTGGCTGTGCACATTCTCAGAGGCTTGAGCGCCTCCGAGCTGCTGAGCATAAACAGCTCTTTCTTGACGTCGCCAAGCTCCTGTTGCAGGGCTTCATTGTCTTTCGCCTTCTTGCCAAGCTTGTTGCTCAACTCAGAAAGTTCTTGCTTCAGTTCTTCAATTGATTTGCTTGATTTGTACTGTTCCATCTTGAACCTCTCGATTTCCCTGAGGTACTCTTGGGAACTCTTCTCCTGAACCTGGCTCTGGCTGCTGACAGAATTCAACTTTCGCTCCAAGTCCATGTTTTTCTCTCTAGTCGCCTTCAGTCTTGTTTGCAATTCTTCCGTCGCCATGGCCTTCTGCTTGGCGGTCTGCTGGCTCTGGGAGAGCGCCGACTGAAGCTCTGTCTTCTCGGCCACCAGGATGCCGATGGTCTGGATGTGCACTTGTAGCTGGTCGTTGATGGCCCCCAGCTCGCGCCTGGACTGATCCTCCCGCTCTTGCTGCTCACGCTCGTACTCATGCTGCTGCCGTGTCAGCTTGCCCCTCAGCTCCTGCAGCTGAAACTCGAGTTGGTCCCTGTCTTGCTGCAGGGACTCGAGGCTCGTGGCCAGCTCCTGGTTCCTTCGCAAGAGGGCATCGTTCCTCGGGGTGCCGGAGCTCTCCGCAAGCGCCTCAATGTCTCCGTTGAGAGCCGCGTTGGTGTCGTTCATCAGGCCGTTTAGCTGCAGCGTGATCTGCCGAAGACTCTCCGCAGACGACAGCACCCTATTGCTTGGCTGGTCCTCACTTGCTAACTGGGAGAGATCCTGACAGGAGTGAGCAGTCAATGATTGGGTCTCCTTGGGTTTAGACGGCAAAGCCATGGAGGAGCTTTGCTTTAGAAAGCATACTTCTGGTGTGTCATCCCTGCCTGTAGTGCCATCAACCGAGTTGCACTTGAGTCTGTTGAGTTGTATTAGCTTCAGCTCCCGACAGGCATCCAAACCCAAAATGGCAGCTGTTGACATGTCAACTATGCAGAACTTCAGTGTTGCCGATGTGCCAGGTACGCTGCATCTTAGAAAGCACTCTCCACGTAGTGGCAAAGGCTCACCGGTGTAAGTAGTCACACAAGCACCAGGGCTGTTAAGTGGTGGGGGATCCGGCAACTTCTGGAACTGCTCCATCGAGATTAGGTTCACATCTGATCCAGTGTCCAGTTTGAACACAATGTCGTGTCCACTGACGTTCACTCTTTGGCTCCATGAAGAAGAGTGCTGAACGGTGCGAACAGTCAGCACATCCAAGGAGAGAGGTGCATCCTCCTGCAGCTCTCGCACGACGTGGGCATGACGCGACTGCAACGGACGAGGCTGATGTAGCTGCTGACACAACGCAGCATAGTGGTTGGGCTTGCCACAGTTGTAACACTGTTGTCCGAATGCTGGGCACTGTCGTGGCTGGTGAAATTGGCCACACCTGGAGCATGTTCTTTGCGAGTTGTGACGAGGCTGCGGTGGCTGGCGGCGAGTGGGCGCTCCTTCACTTGGTTCCCGCGTAGCGTCATACTGCCGTGTAGTTGGTGGACCGCGGCGATGTATTGCGAACACCTCCGGACTCTGTGGCTGCATCTCTTGGGCGTACGTTCTGGAAAGTTGCGCTGCCATACACTGGTCCTTGACTTTGTCGAGTGTAAGTTTCTTCTCGCGCAACAAGCGTTCTCTCAGCGAGTTGTCATTTATTCCATGAACGAGGCGGTCGGTGATCATACGGTTGCGAGCTTCACCAAAAGCGCATTGATCTGCCTGCTTTTCTACGGCTTGAGCGAAGGCCTCGAACGTTTGGTCTTTCGACTGTTTCAAGTTATGAAAGACGTAGGATGCATGCGTTGTGTTGCGGTACCTTTCGAAGTGCTCGTCGAAACGCTGAAGAACATCGGCGAACTTCTGCTGCGCCGCCGGAAATGTGAATGCGTGGTACTTCTGCACGAGTTCCGCGCCTCCAACATGTAGCAGCAGAGCAATCCGTGTCTCGTCGTCTTCCTTGTGGTACTTTGTTGCACGTTCGTAGATCGTGAAGCTCTTCTTCCAGTCGCTCCAATCCTCTGCCGGGTTGGCGGCTGCCGAGAAGGCTTGAATGGGCGGAAAAAACAACGCCATCACTTCTGTGGTAGATGCTGCTTACTTGCTTATCCCACTTCTGACACCATGTTATGCGTGGGTTCTTCTAAGTGTTTCGGATCGACAGGATGGCGTTGGATTTACATAACGTGTTCCTTTATTGTTGTTCTAATGGCGCCCGACTGGCTCTGCCAGCTCTGCTACAGTTGCCAGTAGGGCTAACGCCACATAGGTGGCGCTACCTTTTAGTACATATATAACATCACTGATGACGTCATCAGTGATGATGACGATGACAATGTGGATGCCGGTGACGTCATCAGTGACAATGACGATGCGGATGCCGGTGACGGCATCAGGGACGATGACGTCATTGGGGGTCATGTGACCTCGGCGGGGGGAGTCACGTGACCTTGGGGGTCATATGATCTGGGGACACGTGACCTTGGGGTGACCTTGGGGGTCACGTGACCTTGGAGTGACCTTGGTTACGCCGACGGCGACGGCAACGCCGCTCAAGCCGAAAACGGGCGCCTAAGAGCTGCGCTCTAAAAGTAATTGGCTATAACTTGGCATAATCATCATCCTATTTCTTCCTATTTAAACTTAGCGATTTAATTCATAATACATGAAGCAGTGTCGTAAACATTCTAGTACTTTAGGACATATTTGATGAAATATGATTTGTGACCGAGTGCACCGCGTAGCTTCCCCCTGCTTATTCCCAAACTTGCGACGAAAAGTCAAGATGAAAACAGCATCAGTTACTGCAAACAGGCATACATGTGGTTAAAGAACTATGGAAGGTGCCCAGCAACGTACAGTCAGTGGCCAGTGCCTGGCCCGGGTCTTGGTAGCTCGCCTCGAGTGCAGAGGCACCCTCCAGGCCTGTCCTGGACTTTTCCGACGCCAGTTCGGGAGACGCCGGAAACGAGGCCCCTATGCGGGGACTGGCAGCAGACGAGTCGCTGTCGGCTGCACAACGAGCAACAAGCCCCCATGAGTAAACTCCGAACCTGCCCACTCATCCCTTTCCTGTTTGCATTCTCAACACAAACACACATGTTACCATGTTTTTCATGTGCACCTTTTTTTTTACATGCCGTACCACATATGGGCATGTTTTTCATACAAGGAGAGACACAATGTCCGCGTTTCTCCGTGTCAGCACGCGCTCGACAGGAGAAAGAGCGGCCATCCCCACAGGGATGCACACCAGCCCATGTCGTTCTGGTGCTCCGCAGTGTCGCCAGATCAACTCGGCCTAAAACATTGAACAATCAGCGACAACCAGTGTATTGGTACCGCACAAATAAGGTTATTCACCGCTTACCTTTTGTTTTATCTTAGGGTTAAAGATAATTATCTGTGAATCCAGAAACAGTTGTATTGCTGCATCTATGGCACAGAGACTGACTCGGTTGTTCCAGGGGGCACGCCCAGCCTCACTCCCGCCCCGCGTGACTGTGGCGAGCCACCGGAAGTGGCTCGCCACCTGGCGAGCCACTTCCGGCGTCGACACCAAGATTAGGCCGAGACAAAGATCGGCACCTTGGACGCATTGCATTGTTGCAGGTGACTTTGACCGACGTAGGGAGATGCCATTGCAGTTGAGACGCGTGAAAAACACCTCATGTGGTTAGGGCTTCATGCAGTCATATCTGGTTGCTTTAATACAGTTACCCTTCTAGGGGCTAATGCCTGATGGCCTTTGTTACAAGCCATTTCTAGGGGAAATTGTAAATATTAACAAAACCTTAGATGCTAAAAGGCATCTGGAACTGACTGGATGCAACTGATGGATGTTATTTCCATCTGCTAAAAAATTCATGCATCCAAGAAAACGGAGGTAAGCACTGTTGTGTAAAAGGCTATTAGTACAATTTCCTCGTATCAAATATTTGACCCACTCTACAAATGATTGTGCTAGAGATATATGTCTTTCAAGGCTACAGCCTCATGCTTGCAGCTTTGCCTCCAATGCATTGGGTCGAACCTTAATAGAAAGTTCTCTGTTGCACCCGAAATCACAAATGCATAATTCGCTTAAACTGAACTAGTTGGTTAATTACATTTTAGATAAGGCCAACTTCAACATGTACACAAATACCGTAACATACCGGGGGAGCATCCACCCAACTTTCACTAGATACTGGGTTAATATAGACATGGGCACTTGTCCGGTCAAATCAGGTGCATATTGTATCATTTTTAGGGCTGTGCAAATAGGGGATTTTGATTTCGAATCGAATTTGAAGCGAATAGTGATTTTGGCCGAATATTTTCGAATTGAAAATTGAATACTTGCTGTTCAAAAATCTTGGCTGCAAAGTGGCATGCAAGATAGTTATTGCAGATGTGCAATTATTAAGTGGGCTGATACGTGAGAATGAGACCCTATTTAATTCATGTATGAATTATTTACAGGAATACAGGGTGCCAAGATTGGCAAAGATGGTGCAGGTGTTACTGGAGGAGCTCATTGATCGGTTTCTTTTGCCCATTTTTAAACAAGGTTGACGAAATGACTACGATGAATATATTTGAGAGTTCCCACCATAATATTTGTACCGTTTTGCCGAACGAGTGAGTATATTTTTTATTTTAGAAATTGTTTCTTACATATTTTTACACAGTAAACAAACATGGTGACTCGACGTCGCCAACACTTCGAAAAGCATGAATATTACAACTGCTCTCGAATTAAACATCAAATAGCGTAATATTCGAAACTACTATTCGAAAATTTGAATATTTGCACGACTCTAATAATTTTCAGAATTCTCATTTGAAAAATGCTAACTGTGGGCGCTTGATTGAAGTGGGTGTTTCCGCGGTATTTTACTGTTATATAAAAAAGAAGTGGATGCACAAATCGATGTCAAACAGTGAATTAATAAACTATAGTCAATACACATACCACAAAATCCTGTAAGAACGCGTCCACTCAAAATGAAGAGATAAAATGTAAAAAACATGGGGTGGGCTATCTTCAAAGATGTGACAGCAAAAATTTATAAAAAGATAGAAATAAAACACCGGGGGGGGGGCTTACTACAAACCACATGAAACGGGAATCGATACCGCCGATCGTGGACATGGCACATTCACATTGAACGATGCGATAAAACACGCAGGAATTCGCTACGAACTCCTGTGTCACAGCTGAAGATATCGCAGATAACAGACACAGCAGATTCGCTTTTCACAGTGCGAAAGACACACGGGAACTCGCAAAGGACACGCAGAAACCGATAATGCATGTGCAGATTGCGTACAAGAAATTGCGTAAACCCAAAATGAACTTGTATGTTACGGGAACGGATACCGCAGATTGCAGAGGCAGCAGACTCTCGTTTCCCGATGCAATAAACACGCAAGATCAACTTGCGTGTCACGGGAACCAATACTGCCAGCGCAGGTCGCAGACAAAAACGTGTGAACCCGGCCACTCAAACTCGTTTGTCGGACGTGCCAGTACCGAAGATTGCGCGGTTGATAAGACTCCCATCGGATATCACGTGATGCCCGACAGGAATCAGGGTGGGTGATGTTTCTGAATTTTTATGTGATAGGTATTCAGCCAGAAAAACTGGATGGGTGATCTCTTGGGGGAGGGCATCCTAACAGGATTTTATGGTAGGTTCAGAAACTGATGGGTTTTTTTTTATGGGTAGTTCGTGAAAATATACATCAAGTTCTTGGGCCCCCACCCTGGAGTTCAAGGAAGGACATCTGTACTGGTGGTACAAAGCTCAGACATGCAAAGGGTTTCTTCCATCTGACTCACAACACTCAAAAACTGCAAAAAGAGGTGTTGCCATCATGGCTCTTGTATCTGCTTCAAGGAAAATCTAGCTGAGGAAACTGGCCATCAAAAAATATGACGGACTGCATGCATGTCTCACAACTGCCATGGCCTACGACAATGTCAAAGGTGCTTCACACGGCGTTTTCGAAAAAAAACCTATCCATTTTGCAAGTCGTGCCACAAATAGGTTAACCAAACTTTTGAAAAACAGATCTCCAGGCTATACAATGCTGGCTAGCTGAGTTCTATTCTTGGGAGACATTTGTGAAATGATCCACAGAGAATCAAAGCACGAACCTGTGTGCAGAAATGAAACAAAAGAAGTGACAACCCAAAAAGTCACTGTGGTGGCGCCCTACATTTTCAGGAGTACCCACAAATTAAAATGCTTGATGGCACGCAAAGTATTCAGGTTGAGTTCTCTGCGCCAAAAAAAGGTATACTCGATGTTTCGTAAATTAAACCATGGGCCACACACTAGTAAGAAAAAAAAGATTGAGGTACAACTAAGCATTCCTTATGAGTTGTGATTGCGAAAGCATGCAAGCCGCTCGTCTGCTTCCTTTTTCGTCTGCTGCATATTTTTCGTCACCTGTCAGCGCGTGTGCTCCCCTGGTGACCTCGGGCGCTCCGTGCTGATGGACACGCAGTGGCCAATGGGAGCCTTGTCGACGCGCGCCAGCAAATGGAACCGAAGGAAACTATCTGCCATTTTCGCGCTTCAGACTGATGACATCAGCTCGCTCCATGAAAGAGTTAATGCCTTCGCATTAAAAAGATGTGATATAACCCACAGCATGCAATTCGCCCCCTGCGATACAGGGGTTATGTATCGGAATCCGTCATGATGTGGCAAGTTCTTATATTAGCCAAACGGGCCGATGCATCAACGACTGAACAAGGGAGCATGCAGTGTCTGTGGCGGTCAGTGGAATGATCATTCCACTGGCCTGCTGTGATGTTACTAATTGTCTTCGACCCTGCACTATGCAACAGGTCAGCACCTTAATTAAGTTGAAAGGGGTGATGAGAACAGCTTACTTGAGTCGTACATAGCCTTCCGTGAAATGAGTCTGCGATTAACTTTGGGGGCCTTGGATTCTTCATCCGAGCTGTCAGTAGACTCTTTCTCATTCTGACCTGAAACATTAAACCCGAACACTTGTATAACGCATTTAAGATGCTCTAAAGTTGGCTTTTGTACAGTACAATGCTGTCAAAAAGACTGTCTTCAGATTATTTGCAATATTGGAGGCTAAGGCTCTCATACTAACCGCAAAGCTTCCTTGACAAACTGTAAAACAAGGGTCAGGATCTACGGCTGCAACATAAACAATTACCATTTCTGGAGCCTAAAAAGAGTTTGCTTACTGTCGACTTTTTAATAACCAAAAGCTTTTTTTTTAGACTCGAATTATGGATTTCAGAAAGTTTTGAAAGAGTGACTGAATATCCTATTTTTTCAATATCAATAATATTATTAATGGCCTTATTCGCTTAAAAAACACACATCTAAATGTACTGGCCCACAAAAGCAAAGTTGCAATTTGAACGGTTGCAGAAAGTTTCTGAGCATTGCCAGGCCAGATTGGTGAGCATCTCAACTCTATGTAACAAACAAGTCTGCGAACTGCAAGTAATAGTAAAAAATTAAAATTTTAATATGGTAAACATAAAGCGATTTCATGTGACACAAGTGACACACTTGACTATGAACACAGCTAGTCTGGTAAGTATGTGATTCTCGACTTTTCTCCAGCATTCTTTTCCACACAACCAGGAAAGTGCCAGCGTGGTGGATGTGTTCATGCACAGCACAGACTTGGGGAAGGGGGGGGGGGGGGGGGGATGGGGAACAGCACAGGGCTGTTTTTTTTATGTTTTTTTTTAGCAAAAGCATGTACAAACAAACAGTACACTGAAAAATAACAATAAATATTAGAGTACCCCTGTGCCACCCCCGGCCTGCAATGGCAGCTGTTGTGGCCTCCGTCCCATTGCGGTTTCGGCTGGAGCTGTACTTGGAGGCGCCTTCCGCCTTTTTGTCAGGGACCACGTAGTTAGGCAGAGCTCGATAGAACCAGGCACCGGATTTCTTCCACATCTGCATGCCACAAATTTGATGAGGGGTTCAAACTTAGCTGAGCAAGCTGTTGCAGAAACGTTTGCACTCGGTGCTGTAAGCCTAGTACTTCAGCTAGATATTTAGACCTGAATCATGGAAATCATAAACGCATGAGCAAATGTTTCTCCTTTTCTTTTTTCATTAAACTCAAAGCTAAAATATATAAACTGCAAAGATTCGGTTGGAGTGAACACTGATCTCTATTTTGATTATTTAAAACTAACCTGGGTAGAGGTGCTCTCTTGCTTTTGTCATAATTACAACAAAGACTTAGCAGTCATATTATGTGCTATATATAGCAATAATACTGTGTGCTACCATAAAGTACCGTGGAAGAACCCATTTCATACAAGCGCCCAGTGTTAACATTTCCCGGGAATTCTGCAAATTATATGTTAAGCGCTAGCACCGGCCGGAAATACTGACCCTGTTGCGGCAGCCACGAGACCGACAGCAGCGATGACAGGGATATAATGTGAAAATAAATGTGCTTTTTTTGATTATGTTCACCCCGCCTTCAAAGCTCTTCATTGGCCACCATCTTAGTGTTCATCACTGCTCTCTATGAAAATTGCTGGATCATGCTTCCACACTTCAAGCCCATTGCGCGATTGCGGCCACCGCGGTCGGCCATCTTACCACATCTGCTGAAGCGTTGTCAAGGATGTGGTCACGTGACCTTTGCCTCTGTTGTCACGTAACCTACAAATGGTAATTATGGTAACAGTCTAGGCTCGATAACGCTAAAGCAAATGTGGTAAGATGGCCGACAGTGGCCGCACATGCGGAGCGGGGGAGCGCGATCCAGCAATTGTCACAGGAATCAGTGGTTTTCATCAATTTGACTGGACAAGCGACAATGTTTAGATTAACCCTACTTTCAGTGAAAGTGCAATGGGTGCTTCCCCTGTATTTTACAGCAGATCCTGAACGGTGTAAGAGTCAATTAAAATCCTAAAGAAACAAGAAGTCATAAAATTCCTGCTTATGTGTATAATACTACTAAATTATTACATATCCAACCTCAAGAAGATCAGAAAATCTGTCATTGCATTCAGCTTTTTAACAGGAACCTATGAAATATACAACTACACCAAAAGCAACTAAAGTAGCAAATGCTCAACATGGCATTTAATTTCTGAACTAAACGTCCACTCAATTACGTAAAGTAAAAGCTACATTTCTGACTCAAAGCATGAAAATCTCTTTCCAAAAAAGAGAAGAAAAAAATTGCTGCTCTTATATGTTGCACCTTCGGAACGCTCTCAGCTGGCTTGCATGTTTAATGGGAGATGAGTGATATCATATGCAGACACACAATATTGATTGTTGCCAATAGACTAGACAGGCTACAGCACTAGAGCACTGACCTTTTGGCTCTACCATAAAAGATAATACCATGCTCTGTCACATTAATAAACTAGGTCTAGATTCTTCTTTGATGCTTGTCAAGCAAAATTCCCCACCGAAACCCCACCATTTGCACCAAAGAAGAGCCCTTGCTCATGTGCCTGGTCACTCACCTCTCGTGTCTCTGAACAAATCTTGCACAGCCATATCTGCTCCCTTTGTGCACTAAATGTGTCCACACTGCACTTGCTGCACACGGCCTGAGAAGACAAGACACGTACGAGGAACTTCATGATGGACTGAAGTTTAAGAGAAAGGATGCATGCAGATATGTTGCATAGTGCACGAAGTAGAAATATGCGGAAAGCAAGAATATCTTTGCTACTAAGAGTACCATATGAACTGGGACTTCAAAGCAATCTAGTTACTGTATTTCAATATAGTGTTGCTGATTGGGCTAGTTGGCGATTATCAATGGTACAAAATGGCAAAGACACAGACAAAGAAGAGGAGACAGACACTCTCCGGCTAGGTGTGTGCTACGTGCTGATGTTTTTGGTATGTGCACTATGATGCCAATGCGAATAAAAATAAGTCGTAAGTCGGCCCTGTGGTGTGTTCATCTCTTCTTTTTTGCCCTTATCTTTTTGTTGTTTGTTTCTAATAATTATCATATTTACACATGCCATTCATGCATCATTTTCCAGGAAAATCAGGCTGTACTAGGACCATGAGTTCCAAAGCAATTTATGAAAAAAGCTTCAGGAGTTTTTTTTTTAGGAAAGAACAGCTCACAATTTGTATCCTACACATAGCACTCTGAAAGCAGCAATGGAAACGTGGCATCACGGAGGCACGCGTCCATAACTGAGTAAGGAAGTGCTTTTCCCCGCGGAGATTATGAGAGTACGAGCACACCTTCCTGCAGTCGTTGCAGAGCAGTGGAGATCCGCTGAGCAAGCCGAACTCGTTGGCACACAGCACACACTGGGTGGTCCCATTGCCCAGGGCGTTGCGCTTCATGTTCTCCACACGCTCCACCAGTCGCCTGCAGAAAAGGACAGAGAGGTTCGGTCGAGAACACACCACGTCATATGACCCAAGGTTGGAGGTCTTGAATGTTTTATCTCGAGGAACCCCTTTCGCTCTTGACCGATGGCTGAGGAACCCCTTTTGCTCGTGACTGTTTTGCTTGTAAAATAAGCTTTTACAGTGAAACTGAGTGCAGAAAACAAGTAAACATGTTTATGTACTTGCTTAAGTGGTTCGCTCAAGTCTAACTCAATAGGCCCTCACAGATTCTTCCTCGTAAGAAAAATCTCGAAGCACTCTATATCCTCGGTCGCTTAGGCGTCGCACAAACCAGTGCGCTCTTGTTGTGATTCGGACTTAGAACAGCTATCGGAATCGCTCCCATCGTCGACAGAAGGCTCCGAAAACTCACTATCCTCACCAGTCACCCAGTTATCATCACTTTTGAAAAGAATATCTATAATTTCATCGTCAGAAAGGCCACGCCATACACTGGACGCTGCCATCTTCTCCAAGCAGGCAGCGATCAAGCGGGAAAGACGACACACAAAAGAACAAGCTCAAACAAACACAGCAAACAGAACGACCCTCGCCATCTGCTATCAATGCATCTAACTACACTACCCCAAGTCTACATAGCGCGCCATCTATGAATGGCTCTTTAAAACAGAAATTCATGCAGACCGGCAAATCGCCAGCTTTGGCAATATGGCCCCTGATGGCACACCCGGCAATTCGACGGCTTTGGTAGCGAATAGGTTAACAAAGAAAATGATCTGTAAAAATGTCTAGTGAAAGAGTCATTAATGATAGATAAGCAAAAAGTTTGTTTTAGCAATATGTCTGTTTCACTGGGAAATCATATTAGAACGTTCCTAAACCAGTGAATTGTTTTTTGTCATTTATGGTTGGTAATTTATGCTTTTAGGTCACCTATATGTTTTTCTAGGTCACCTATCTTTGCCCATTGTGTGGATATTCCCCCTAGAAGCTTCTTTTTCTGTTTTTCTATGGTTGGTCCTTCGCCAGGTTCGAAGTATGAATCTGTTTAGTGTCGCCCCCTCACCCGAGTTCAAGGTTGTTTCGCTTTGTGCGTTTGGGTCCTCATGTTACCTTTTGGTCCATCGGTCTCCTTCTTTCTGTACGTACCTATGAAAGGTTGTGAAGGGTGAAATAAATGTTTGCTGTGTTTGGAGATATCTGTCGTGTTTGTCCTCCTTGTCCCAACTCTCCAGGGTAAAAATGTCTGCATGTTAGTTTCAATTATCTACAAGTTTGAATTAAGAGAGTTTGAATTAACAAGATTAGACTATACCTGGTTCAGGATTAGTCTGTGCTTTACTCTTAGCTGATACAAAGCTAGCACCCTTCCTGTATGACCTGAAAGCCCCAAACATGTGCTCCCATTTTACACAAGCTTACCATGTCCCCCCCTTTCCCTCTCGCACCCCAAGATGTAGTCCCGGTGTAAGGAATGACAACATATCTCACACTAGACTATTTATTTATTCAGAATTCGGCATTACTCAAGCATTATTTTGAGCCTATGCCTGAAAAGCCAACTATTGTTTGGAATTCTTTGTAATTTATTCTTGTATAATTTATTCTTGTGCACAGCATGGCAAGTAAAATTCAGATAACATTAAAAAAAACTATACAGATGCTTGCAAATGCTTTTCATCTGTTTCATGAAGAGGCCAAAAATCAATCCGACCAATATGTAGCATGGATATGACTTTGAAACAACCCTTCTTTCCAGTAACGCTGAAACGAGAGCCTGCAGAAGTGGTGCGAAATGTGAATGCGCCTGAGTGTGATTGACTGCACTGCAACCGTTTGTAGCCACTTGAGACGAGGGGACATTCCAGTACACTGGTGCGATCTATCAAACCTGTTCAATCTGCTCATAATTACTAGACAAAAGCTTTTCCAATAGTTCTTGTGAGATCAAATCTATGCACTATCTATGTATCTATGAGAAATGGTCGCTTATAGCATTGTTGGAATTATTTCCAGCACATGGTGGAAAAACGAAGCGTAAGATGCACAGATTGGAAAGGTTCCAGGGCTCCCCTATATATGGCGCCGGTGACTCTCGCCGTAAGCAGTTGCAAGTAGGATATGTGATCAATCCTTCTCAAACGCAAATTTGCTAACCAGCCTGAAGTTTTTGACGTCCATGTCATGCACAGGAGAGCTCGAGGGGCCATGCAGGGAACAAACAAGGGAGGCTCACCCGACGCGCTGCTGCTCCATCTGCTCCAGCATGTCTGCCCTCTTGATGACGCCCACGATGCGCTCCTGCTCCGAGTCGTTGAGCTGCTCCTGCCGGGTGAAGGTGCTCATGGCGCCCGTCTTCACCGACCACCCCGTCTGCAGCCTGGCCAGTGGCGGATAATGTCCATCATCAGGCATCGAAACGTCTGAGCCGGTCCAACTCTGTTGGTCCTACTGCACGATTAGCTCAAATAATGGCACGCAAGCATACGAGTAAACGAGTTAATTTTTGCAAACTTCGCGACTTAAAAGAATTTTTCAAAAAATGTATCGCGTGGATATATTAACCTTACGGTAACGAGTATGTGTCGTACCACTCCAGATCGCAAAGATTTCTGCCCGCGAACTATTCCCGAAATTCCCACTTCGCAAACATTGCTAAATATATCAAACACGCTAAGGTAAAGTTGTTTACGGTATTTATTTCACATAGAGGTGCATGAACTACAAGCTGACGGGTAACTAACACAAGCCTGTGCAGTTGCAAGAGAAGGCAGCATAGAAATAACAAAAATGACGCCACCCGTGCGGCATTCTCAAATAAATTAAAAGCATTCGAGCCCATTGGAGAACTACCAGCAATTCCTTTATGTCTAGGACAGCCATTTATTCACTGGGAAGGGACCATTTCTCAAGAAAAGCTTGCCACAGCCCTTTGCAACAAAGGAAATGTGACCTCCCATTCACGTGGATGCATGATGAGTAGAAGTGTCACACCTAGTAGTTAATTCGTTAGAGGAGATGAGCCAAGCCAGAGTCATAGTAAATAAAATGAGCCACGTCATTCCACAAGGGTGTTTCTCCCTCATACTTTGATCCCGACAGAAAGGAGAACAGTTGCATAAATGAAGCAGATGGAGGGCAAGCCATATTGTGAACTTCTTACATTTTTCCTACATGCTGCTATCAAGAAAACTGTTTGCCTTTTTGGTTAGAAACCGTTTTGCTCTAACAATGACACAATATACATTATAGGAACTGTAGGCAATTATCTATGCCAAATTTTGGTCAGCATTAGTTTACTTCCTCAAATGCAAAGACAAAACGAAGTAGAATATGAGACTGGCTAAACCAAAATATAGTGGGCAAGCAACCACTTTTTATCATATCCTAAACCTAAACAATTGGTCAAGGTACAAAAAGCATACATGCATAAATAACCCCACACAATCAAGCTCCCATATGCATGTGCAAGCGGCAGTGCTAGCGGTATGTGAAATATGTAGCGTATAAATGTAGTGGCATTTAGGTAAACACTATTAGGGTGCTTAAGATGGCGCTCCACAGGTGGGTGCTCACTTTGCCCGCAGAGCCAACTCCCGGTCGTTGGGACAGACCCACTTGTCTTTCTCGCCATAGTCACCCATGGCTGCTCAGTCCACTGCACCAAAAAGAAGAGCGAGTCGGCATTGCTGGGTCTACTGCCTACCGAATGTCCATCTGCATTATTCAAGTCTTCAAAGCAACCAAAAAATGCTTCGTATGGCCCAGCCCAAACTATGCATGACCATGTGCCATACTTTCCAGACTACAATTCCTGGACTAAACACACGTTTAAAAGTTGATATGTGCGGACTACCTAAAGGGGCAGAATCCATGAGAATATGGTTTTCAAAATCACTCTACATCAGAGTTTGTTGTCATTGAGAGTAGTTTTTGAGATCACGCTCTTTCGCACTGGACAATCAATGAGGAAACTACTGTATCTAAAAAATAACACTTTTTTTTTTTTCAGCCAAGATATGACACTGTGAATTGCACACTCAGTGGAAGGCATGCACAGTGGGTGGCCATGCATGTTATGGCACCTCCCTGATGACTCCGGATGGGCGAAAATTCAGTATGATTCTATTTTTGTTGCGTCGCACAACAAAAATAGAACCTTACTGAATTCACACCCCTCAGGGGTCATCAGCGAGGGGGCCAAAGAATGCTTGCCCTCGCTCTCATGAAGTGACCGCGCCGCGCTGAGCTCGGCCGTGCAGCCTGTGCGGCCAGGACTGTACTGCCGGACCTTTTACCGGCGGCCGAGCCACTCCGTGCGCTGCACCGCCATGCAGAGGGCTATCTGGTGGCGTTTTGTTGATGACGCGCGCCAGCTAATGGGAGCCTATCCATCAGATTTCTGCGAGAGACGACAGGCTTCGCTCCATTGGGACAGGTTGCGGTGCCGTTTGGCGCGGCTCCAAACCTGATGACGTTGGTTCGCTCCATGGGACATTTAATGCTTTCGCATTAATAATACGATATTCAATATTTGATATTCGCTTCGAGGTAAACTGCGAGCTCCGCCGGTGTTGCTTCTCCTCAGTGCACCGGTGCTTGAAGTGCACTCAACGGGGCTATCTCGCCACGATCAACACTTTGAAAAGTACAAATATTTCAGTCGCGTACTAAGGGGGAAAGCACACTTTTAAAGCGGAGCGGTGCACGTGCGCGCCTGGTGTATTTAAAAAAAAAAAAAACTTTGTGAATGTTGATATCTACACTAGTGTAAAACTTCCACAATTAAAACTGCAGATATTACGCAAAAATAAATGTTACGCAGAGATTTCCTAACAACCTGCCTTCATACTTCATAATTGTCTCTTTTTTTTTCTTTTTCTTCTTTCTCTCTCAAGACTGAGATGTAAGAAAAGATATTTGCATACCAGAGCAGGAATATTTATAAATTCCCCCGTTTAGGTACAGCTGGGAAATTCAATAGGTCATATTTTATGCCAAATATGTAATTCGCTTGACATCTCAATGTAGGAATTAAGCTTTCTGAGGTCACTGTCCACAGATATTTAGGTTAAAATTAGCTTAGAAGTAGACAGGTGGCAGCTTGGGAACAAACATCACAGCTGGGTTTTCATTTAAGCATGGTGCAGTAGGGAAAGGCTTGGAGAAAGTATTGGATATTCAATTCAAAAATATTGGCTCAACACCACTACTGGCTTTGAATTCACTTCAAACTCAAAATCTATGATTCACACATGACTACCGTAATATCCCGAGTCATCGCCCACCCCCCTACCGCCTGAAATTAATTAAAAAAGTGGGGTGGGCCATGTCTCGGTGGGTGAGCACAAACACTTGAAAAAAAAAGCGGAAAAACCGCCTATTCTTCTCTGCGTATCTAGCGCTGATGCACAGGAGATACATCAAACTCAAAACTCGATTTAGTTTCCTTGTTTTATAGAAAAAAATGCTCACGAAAGAATATTTTACTATAGCGAAGTCCGTTGCCTGCATACGCGCTAGAAACACTGCCGATCTGCATATAGCGCGAACGTTTGTTCCGTCAAAGAATGTCACCACTATGTTCTCCTAGTTAGTAAAAAAAAAAGAAAGAACAGTCTACAAGAAAATAGAAAAACCGACCAGGCGCAACGAGCGAGCGAGCGAGCGAGCGGACCAAAGAAGCGACTAAGAGCAATGCTGGGAAATCGGGAAAGCGGGAAAGCCGGCGGTCGCGTTGGCAAATACTTTGGCGTCGGGCCAAGTCGGGTGCCTTGTCAATCGCAAGCTCTTGCGCAACTTTCTTGTTTGGTGCGTACATACGTGCGTCCGTGCACGGCGGGCTATCAATGCACGGCTGGGACGCTCTGCAAACGTCTGTGTAGGGCGTTCCAGCAAAGCTTTATTTACGCGTTGGCTTTGCCTAAAATATTGCACAACCGCGGTCGCGACGGGCGGGAAGAAGGAGCGGGTTCGCGGTGACCTTACTTCGGCGGAGACAGACTTTGGCCTAACACTCCGCGGCTACATTAACAAACTCTTATTTTGTTATCTCCATCGTTCTCTTTTCGCACGGATACACGACCACTTTGGGTTCGCTCACGAAGGAAATGCGTAAACAAAAAGAAGTGTCTTTCCCTCCTTCGTTTTACTTTGTCACGGACGTCCTCCAACTGTAAGGTCCGCGGCCGCGTCATTCGGGTAGGATGAGTGTTCGCGGATCGCGGAGTCCGCGCTGGGGTATTTGAAGGGGTGGGCGATGACTCGGTGTTTTTTCGGAAATCGATATTGGCCCAAAAAATAGGGTGGGCGATGGCTCGGGGATGGGCGATGACTCGGGATATTACGGTATCCACAACACTTACCGTCAACCCGTCAACCACATTTGTAGTGAACCCACATATGCTGCCAACAAGCAGCTGATCACAGTTGTAACCACATGACACTCCCAGCAGATGATGCGCTCATATATTTACTGCCACAACGAACATCAAGGAGAATGAATAACGGTAATAATCCCTGGAGAAAAGGAACATGAGGGACAAAGGTTGGTCCTTTGTTCCTCTTGTTCACCTTCTCCAGGGATTGTCGTTATTCTTGTCCAGCCCGCTGCACCTCTGCCTTAATTGCATTAACATCAAGGAGAAGTCAAGAAGCAGAGAAAGTCAACCGAAATTTTGTGCCTTTACCCTTTCCCCCGACGTGGAATTTATGGAATTGTAGAAAGTCGGAACCTGCGAAGGCTATTATGCAGACATTTTCAAAGTACAAAGCGCTAACACGAGAGAGAGATTATAAAGACGTATAAATGCCTAAAACGTCTAAAGCTCCACCAAAGTCAGCGTTTATAACAAAACAAATAAACTTCAAAACTACTGGAGGGAGCAAAATATGTCTGCCCTCTGTATCTGGACAAAGAAAAGCAAGCCAACACAAGTATTCAATAAAAGCTAGCGCAGCAAGAAACATATTTTGATTTAATAGGTCATATGTCCAGGAAACAATACAGCAATAGTATATTTTCGGGAAAATGAGGCTAATGGCTCGGAGTAAGTTCTATAGTTTGTAAACAAGACAATCATATGAGGCAGGAGCCGATGAACATGTATTCAAACAACACCAAATGAGGCTTATTATGTAAATATGTCACTTTACATACTCGGCTGGCAATCAATATGCCGCTGAAATGCATCAAATTCCCCAGCCATTCGTTTTTCATTAAGATGTTTGTTAAACATGTCTTATTTTTTGAGGCTCTACTATTTGTATTTTTCCTAAATAAAATTTCTGTGACATTTCTCCATCCCAGATATCCTCCTCAATAGCCAAAAACAATCACGGTCTTAAACATGTACTTTCATTTCAACACTATTCCAAGTACAAAACTGAAGGTAGAGTTGCACACATCTGTATTTATCATTGTCTTTACATGTTTATATGTAGCTGGAATACAATATTTATTTCTATTGTTATTTGCATTTGTATAAAAAGAAACTCCTAAAGGACACAAAGAAAATGGAAAGTCATAGCTAGGCGACTGCCATCTGTGCAATATTTGAGGCACTCCCAAACAATAGATGTAGAGGCACAAATCTCTGGATAATGAAATCAAGCGTCATAATCGAACGTCATTTTAGAAGAAGCTTGAAATCTTTTAGAGTGGCGTAGACACAGCAAGAAAAAAATTTCAAACCTGCCGTCTTCTCCATCTTTGGGATCTTATTTGTTAGAAGCTAAGCATGTCTGAACATCGAAATAAAGATTCATTTCTTGAGCTGTGTGCACTACTGCAGACATATAAAAAATTTTAAAATATACCCAAACACAAACAAAACATTGCCACTTCTTTTTATTTTTCCTTTTTGTTTAACACCATTAAGTGTCGAACAAAAAATTCTAAGTGATAATAACAAGTAAATTATACCATGATATTATTTTCTATAACAATTTCACTGTTTGCAAAAAGCAAAAAAAAATAATTAGGTTTTACATTACGAGTTGTATCTGTCCACTGGTACATTTGAACATGTTCTTAAAACAGTTCTAAAACCTTTTATCGATCGTTCTGCAGATTTAATTACTGTTGCGATTCGCACATTCCTCAAAAAAACTTTTACCCCCCCCCCCCCCCCCCTTTCCACGGCTTTTTCGCGCGGTTTTCTGCGCGCCTCCGCTAAGCTTGCTTCCCTGCATTGCTCACAAGCTCGGCAGGGAAGTAACATTGCGGACTACTAAAAGAGGAAACAAATTACGGCGCCGAGCAATTCTCTGCGTGCTGGTTCATTACGAGGTGCGTGGGGAAAAAATAATGAAAAACAAAAGCCCGGGCACAATTAAATGGAAACGCTATTAATTATGCGGGATCAAGGAGACAAAAGAATGCAGTATATACTCGGAAATTAGTGTTTGGCCTGCTAAAGCCACCTTTGCAGCGCGGCAGGACGCAAAATCTACAGTGTTCGTAGCTTTTTTTTATTTCTTTATTATTATTAATATTATTATTATTATTATTATTCGCGAACCCCTTTAATAACATGGCTCTATTCAAATAAAACCGATGGCACAAAAAAAAAAAAAAAACTTCCTTGTCTTCTTTTTTTTTTTTTTCTTGGCAGCAGGCAGATTATCCGTACGTCGTGTGTTTGTCTTCCTGCGCTTTCATAAGCACGCGGCGCGTCTTCGCCGAGGTGTTTGTACAAGAGGTAACGACTCTAAATGGGACGGCCTCCCGTCGGGCGATGAAAATCTATTTTAGGGTGATTCGCCATCGATTTCTGGCGCAAATCAAGAGCGCGCCCACCCCGAGGCGACGACAGAGACCGGTCGTAATTCGCCATTTTAAATGACGTACGAAAGTCGCCCTGGAAAGGACGTCCGTCGATCGCCCCTGGCCTTCTCGAACTCAGAAGGATCGCATGAGCCGTCGGCAATGTGGAGCACAAGTTCGTCTGCTTCTTGAGCAGACGAACTGACGTCAGAACGCCGAGCTCTGATTGGTTCTGGTGCAGGGATAGTGGGTAGATCGAGATCTACCCACTATCCTTCCAATCGTGGCCAATCAGAGCTCGGCGAATTCTGACGTCACCGCAAGAAGGAGGCGAACTTCCGCTCCGCATAAGACGAACACGCTGTACACAAACAAGTCCGCGTGTGCCCACAAAAGGTGCGCAGAAACCAACGTTACTAAAACACTCAGTTGGGAAACTCGCCGTCGAAACCTGGGCCGCTGGCGTCCACCGAGACCGAGCTAAATGCGACAACTGCGCCACTCTTTTTCGTTTGTCTGTACTATGGTCACCTCGAGCTTTTTGAAAGCCCGTTTTTGCGTAAAAACAAACGAAAAAGACTCTTTTTGTATGAAATTTATTGGAGTTTAGTACCAAAAAAGGGGCGCGTTATGTTTTTAAAAATTTTAGTTTGCACGGTTTTGCGGCACAATTAATAGTGTTTTTATACAACCATGCCTCAGCGGGCCTTTCAGGTAGCACGTCCCGCCCTAGGTGCATTTTAACTTCGGTAGCTCACCGCGGCGCGTCCGCCGGGGAGATGGGGGTGGCACCCCTGTAACCTCTACCGCTGTATCTGTTCTTAAAGCCAAAATAGAAGTCACGTGCAGTTCCTCGAATGGCCGCTGCGGGAGAAATGGTGGCGTTGTGTTCGTCATTAGCTCGGTGCTCGGAGACAGGTTGGGGCCACTTTTTGAAAGCTGTCTCTATGGGAGTTTCCCAACTGAGTGTTTTAGTAACGTTGATCGAGATCTACCCACTATCCTTCCAATCGTGGCCAATCAGAGCTCGGCAAATTCTGACGTCACCGCAAGAATGAGGCGAACTCCCGCTCCGCATAAGACAAACACGTTGTACGCAAACAAGTCCGCGTGTGCCCACAAAAGGTGCGCAGAAACCGAACTGCGTAAAGTGAGGCGCATGCGCGCCGCGCCGACAGCAGCGCCACCGCTTTGGTGTGACATCATGGCCGCGATCTGGTGGCAGGAAAGCGTGTTATATGGTCTGTTGCAGGTTGCGAAAAGCGGTAGAAGCTCCTCCCCACCAAAGCCCTCCACTCTTTCTACTTGAGCGAACGCTGGAGAGGAGGTGAGTGGAAACGAGAAAACCACCAAACAAGGCGAACAGAGGGCTTTGTAGGAGGTGCTTGTCCTGCTTGTTTCTAACCTGCAGCAGAGTTATGCGTGAGTTCTGAGTTGCGTTCATGCGTTCTTGTGCGATAAAGGAATCGAATTTAAAAAGCTCGATCACACGTAATGTTGTTGTTGTCGTTTCGTGCGTATTTCTTTTAACTGCGATGAATATACAGGGTGTCACAAAAGAAAATTTACACGGTCTTTTTTACCGCAAAAATAAACTAAACATCGCCGAACGCTCATTCTCCGCCCAAAGATAGCGCTAGAGGTCACAACCAGATGCCAAAATTTCAGCCCGATCCGATAACTTAATCAAAAGTTATGAGTGATTTTCTGAAAATGTCAATGGGAAAAAGGCGGCTGACGGAGTTTTCAAACACATGGGGCTCTATGGCACCAGAAACCGAAAACGGGCAAAAATGGGCTCCATTTTCCCATTGAAATTTTCAGAAAATCACTTATAACTTTTGATTAAGTTATCGGATCGGGCTGAAATTTTGGCATCTGGTTGTGACCTCTAGCGCTATCTTTGGGCGGAGAATGAGCGTTCGGCGATGCTTAGTTTATTTTTGCGGTAAAAAAGACCGTGTAAATTTTCTTTTGTGACACCCTGTAGGTGACGCCAGCGACCGCCTGATATCAAGTAATAAAAGATATATAGATATGTATAGATATATAGATAGATAGATATATTTTAGGAGGCTGTTGGAAACAAAACGGTCGTTAGAATAAAACAAATCAGTAGTTTTCCGAACATGTAGAAATTAGCTTTAACTGGAAACTAATATATGTTAAATATATTTTGAAAGAATCGCCTTCCCATGCAAAGTGTGCACTAATAATGTGATCACATTTGTTGTCCTTTCGCGCTTTGATATTAATTCAATGTTGATTAAAAAAAAAAGAGTTCACAAATTAACATGACAACTGATATATAAAATGGACCGGGATCGCGTTTCAAGCAAATTCGTCTTTTAAGAACTGAATGTATGAATCGAATGTGCGCGATATATATATATATATATATATATATATATATATATATATATATATTCCACCGTTATAGCGACAAGGGAAAAAATTATGAATCTCGCACCACCTGTTGCGAGAATGGTCGAGCACTTGATAAATAGAATTTAATGCTTCCGGCAAAAAGAAAAGCACTAGTGTATTTGTTTGTTTCTTTTTTTCCCCTTCTGGCGTCAAAGCGCATATTTAAGCGCGTCACTGGGTTTGCCTAAAGCGCCACGTATTTCGAGCAAGAAAAACCAGCTCCGAGGCCCTACCGCTCCTACACATTCACCGACATGGCGTGCCAATAAGCCGAGAGTTGACATATGCTCGCTTCCCTGGCAAGCTCCTCGCGTGCTTTGAAGTCGGTCAATACAATACGCCCGCCCGACCACCGAAGACCTTCACGTCTCCGATCACGGAGCGCCTCATCCACGCGCAAACGCTTCCGAGAGAAACGCCCCACGACACCGATTTCATTACGCGATATGCATTCAACAGAAGGGTTTCGACCGAGCGCAGGGCGAAAGATGCCGAGGTTTCGATTTTGAACAACATCGACACGGGAAGAAATTTAGCGTGCAAACTCACCTTTGGTGCGTTCGAACGCTTCGGAAAGTCTCAAAGCATCAAGGCACCGTCCCCACACTCGCACAGCACGCTCGAGAGCTGGCCATTTCGAATCAACGGAAGCAACGCGACGAAGTAAACAGCTACTGCAACGCTTCCAGTCCCTCATCTGGCTGCGACTCGACTGTAGCAAGTGGTGGATGCTCGCAATCTGCGCTCCATTTCTCTTTTGTTGGTGTTTTGGTTAGTGGCGCCATCTGGTGGGAACGGTGGGAGCTGTGTGAGCTCGAAACACCGCGAGGTCGCCGCCAGGTTCAACAAGCGATTGTTCCGGTGGCTGCGGACGGCGGGCAGCGTTCTGCTGGTTTGCTGTCCAAAATGTACGCAACACGCTTATGTCCTCGAATTCTCTGCGTTTCTCTGACCACTTGTGCTCGCCACGAGTCAGAGCAGGCGTGCGCGCGCGTATGCAGCAGCTGGCAGCTGTGACGTCCAGCAGCAAAAAAAAAAATATATATATATAGACGACGGCGCTCAGTTTGAACGGCGTCATTGCGCATCAGAGGGTCTGCATACCCTTGAATATTCATACAAAACAAAAATTCTCCTTACTTCCTTTTTTTTTTTTTTTCTTCTTCTTCTTTTTCCCTACACTGGCTTTTATCAGTTATGTGCGTGTCAATTTATTGATCAAACAGCAGGAGAAGTCCCAACTCCAGAACATATGATGCTCCTTTGAAAGCAAATAATGGTGATTTTAGTATAGCGATATAATACCGGTCAATCGTTATTTATTTCACTTTTTTTTTCCCGTGCTATAATGTTTTACTTGATTATTTTGTTTCGCGGTTTGCGTATCTGAGCAAGTTCATAGAGACACCCTCCCCGCAATAATGCCCTCGAGGCATTATTGCGAGTAAATTCATAAAACTTCACCGGGTACGACGTTTATTGGAAGCACTCAATTCCATCCAAGCAGACGGTCCACGCCACTAAACAGACCTACCTATCCGCAAGAAAAATCTTATGTGTAACAAACAAAAAAACAGTGGGTGTGCAAGCGAGCTGGTGATAATTAATCATAGTGTAACAGCTGAGACTGTACAGTGCGAAAATTTTAGAAAACTTTCTAGTCGAAGGAAAATGCAACAGCAGAAGAATGTCTCAAAAGACAACAGTATACAGGAGACGTTTCCTACTGTTGTCATTTCCTTTGACTACAACGTTTCTTCATTTTTCCTCACCACAGTCTCGACCGCTCTATTATAATTTATTAGTGTGGGTTTCAAAAAGAAAAAAATAATACGCGAGTCGAAAACCTTCTTTGTTTGTCTTTTCGTTCGTTTTTTTCTATGCAAAGGGAGGAAAACGGTCAAAGCCGTTTGGTTGACGCTGCTACTTATAAATGGCACAACACAAAGCAAGATCATTAAAGCTTTGAGATCGGAGCACCCGAGAGCAGATCCAACAGATCCGCGCGTGTGTAGTGCCATCTGCTGCGAGGAGCAGCGCCCGCCGGACGCTTTTTACCGCTTTCCATCCCTAGGAAAAAGAACACGATTCTGTCGTCCCAAATATTTTTGTAATATACACTCGTGAAATTTCAGTATGATCAATTATTGTACCAGCTAAAGATACGTTTTGTGAAAAGTTATGCGAATTTTTTTTTACTTTCGAATAGCGTTCGGAAGCACTCAGTGAAACGTACCAGTAACGTAACCAAGACTGTTTTTTTTTTTTTTTTTTTTTTTTTATGAGAGGGGCTGTAGTTTGATAAGTTTCGCCCCCACTCCCCGGCTACTCCCCTGGTACGTACCTGCGGTGGCCTACGGACTCTTTAGCGGGGATCTGTGGCCGAGTGTCACTGCAGTTCGGAGTACGTGTAGAGAAAGCTCGCAATTAATGCACAACCCGGATCATCCCCGCCCCTATCCGTTTTGACCTGGATGACGGTTTTCCTTTTTAGGCTTTATACAGATCTGTCTTATAAAAGCCGTGAAACATTAATTCGTTCAGGGCAAGTGAGTTATACGGCCAGGGGGACAAAATATAGGGGGGGGGGGGGGGGGGGGGCTAATTGTTACGATAAGTCGAACAAATGTTAAAGGAGTCATGAAACGCTTTTCCAACTTTTTCCTGTTTAGCTTTCCTCCTCAACTCATAAATTGCGTATTGTACCAAACAGTTGAAGAAGACAAAAAGGGGGAGTCCCCTCTTGTTGGGAATCTCGCTTGTGTTGCCGGACACAGCCATTGTCCCCCTAGAAGATTAGCCCGTCGCTCAAAATTCAGACGAGTTGCTTTTCCCACACTGTTCACCCCAAAGCTGACAGTGCTGTGGAAGCTACGTGCTCGTTGGGCCCAGCCACACGTTTGCCACGTGATCACGCTCTCTCGCGCATACCGACCCGCGGAGGATGAGGTCAGGTGATGAAAGGAAAGCAGCTGATTGGTCCGGCAAGCGCGTAGCTTCCACCATAATGTCAACTTAGGGATGAAGGGATTAAGAGAGGTCCGGTGCCGTGTGACGTGCGTTTGGGCCCGATGACGCGTTGCGGGTGCCCGGTGACGCGCTGCGGGGTCCGCGGATGTATCACAGTGAAAAGGCAGAGAGCTTACGAAGGGAAGGAGGTACGAAATAGTCCGCTGTGTTTTCAAAATTTTCGTACCAAAAGTCAGGCTTCTGACTTTCTACCTTTGTTCTTTTGGCCCACTGAACGATGCGCTATTAGTAAGATCCCCATATAGATTGATTTATTCCAGTCCAAAATTCGTTTCATGGGCCTCTCGTGAATGAACAATGAATGAACACTCGTTCATTAATTTTTTTTTTTAATCTGTGAAAATAAATGTGTGGTTTTAAGTAGAAACTTGTTGAGCGGCACCGAAAACCACTAAATCAGTAATTTGTAGAAAGACTTTGAGCTCGTGGGAAGCGCACGGGAGTGCGCTAACGTTACCACTCGTGCAACAGGCTACCGGTGCGATAACGGGCACGAGCCCGCTATCGCACCGGTAGCCTTTCTCCTGCCGCACGACCGGTAACTTTTAGCGTTTAGCGCTCAACCCAGCGGGACCGTGCTACAAGTGTTTCTAAAATTTACAGCCGTGCTTTCGATTACGCTCAGCAAGTTTCTCATTGGAACCATTATTCACTTTCCCTAATTAAAAATTCAATTAACATATTTTAGTTAATTAGATGACGAATCGTGACAATCGGCCCCATACTATGTCCCCTGGACGTATAACTCACGTGCACATACTCCATTAACGTAGCTTTCACGGCTTTCTTTTTTTTTTTTTTATTTTACAATTTTTTGAAGTTAAAAGAAAAAAAAAAACATTTGGAAATTAGGACCACTTTAGAGCCAATAGAAAATAAAATATTATAATTACACTTTCCTTGTGTAAATCTAAAAACAACGCTTTTTTTTTTTTTTTGAGGGGAGAGGGGTACAGTTTTTTCACGGAAATTTCCGCATTCACAACTGGCGTTCGAATCGCAACCGCGAAGCGAATCCGCTTGTTTTCATCATCAAATGGGCGTGAATCAGTACTGTATCTTCAAGGAACCGCGCTCGCAACTGCTTTGCGAATGCGGCTGAGCCGCCAGTGTGAATGCGGCGTTAGGCCTGAATAAGCCAGGGAAGCGATTCCAATTGCACTAACTGTGAACGACTTCAATTTCGCGAAGATCTCATTTTTGCGCGTTTCGCGACTTGGCTATTATCGCGAAAAATAGAACCCGCGAATATGTTTCCCTATGCAAACAAACACATTGCGTACCAACCCCATTCGCGAAATTTTGCGCCCGAAAAATATTCCAGAAAACCACACTTCGCCGAATTCGCGCTATATTGAGCCCGCGATAATAAAGTCGTTTAGAGGATTAGAGAGGGTACTGTCGGGGGTGAACCGCTGCTGGGCCTCCCAGGTCCTTACCGCAGTACTTCCTGCGACCCCCAAAAATATAATATATCAAGTCGCGACCCCCGGTTTTTTTGCTGATTCCACAAATAATGTACTGTATACGAAACTTCGGCGCTCATTTTTTGGTCTGTATGTGTTCTAAAAAGCAGCATCACATCGAACATACCAATAGCTTGTTAAAAAAATTCACGAAAAGTAATTTTAAAACGAATAAACGATTAGCAAAGAGCACCTGGTGGATGTCGCTCACGCCTCGCTTGTAAAGCGCGAAACACATGTACGACGAAACCGTCCGATCCGACGTGCGGACTGCCGGAATGACCTTGGGGGGAGAGGGTTTTCGTAGCATCGGAGAGCGTTGAATACCCTCGCCTCCGACCGTCGTATTGCGCGGTCGGACGTCGGATCGGACGGTTTCGTCGTACATGTGTTTCGCGCTTAAAGGGAAGATGGGGCACTTCTACATTTGAGAAAAAACGCTTGAATTGCGTTCATTTGACCTTCAGAATAACAGATATCACAATTATATTTCAATGCGACGCGCCGGAGAGCCGCAAGAGCAATTTGAAAATAGGGCTGAAGCCCCGCCTCCCTAGCCTTGGCAAGCCAAAAGATCCGTCGATGACGTCACGGACAGCGTCTGTCTTTCGCGTTTTTCTCGCGTTTAACAATACTTGCGCGGCAAATAGTTTTGGTATTCGGGTTCACGAGGTAAGAATACACTAGAATTTACTTCTAACTCATTTTTTTTCAAGAAGCTCCGTAGCTTCCCTTTAAAGGGGTACTCCACCGATTTTTTGAGCTACCTCAACTAACTATATTTTCTGACTCCCCGGCCTTTACTCTCTCCGGTATGCTATTTAGAATCGCGAAATTCATAATAGTTATTGCGAAATCGGCAAATGAAAATGATGCAAAAACCAACATTCAAATATACGCGCGCTTTTCAGGGCCGTGACGTCAGTGGCAGTCAGGCTTGCCAGTCGAACAAGCAGCCAAAAAATAGAATATGCCAATCATTTGTTCCGTGCTGGAGCGCGGGTACTGCAGCGAGCTTCCCAAGCATTCATTTGACACCATGAAACTGCTTCGAATCAGTTTAAAACGAAATCTACAGCCCAAAGAGTGAACCCCTGCCTTCCACTGACGTCACTTTTTCATTGTTGCCAGTAGAGACTTCGAGCTTGAAAAACACGGTGAGGACCAAAACTGTAAATTCAATAACTTCGCGAAAAAACAATATTTTGACCTAATATTTGGGATACTATTTTCGCGATGTTTGTTGG